GCATTGTTTGTAGGAGACTTTGTAATGCAAATTTCCAACTAAATATAGTACTTATGCTAAATTTGGTATTTTTTTTCTTACTAAAATTGTATCTATGCATATTTGTGTATACACATATTCCTTAACACATGTGTTCGTGTTCTATTTTTTTTTTACTCTGTTGAAATGTAATAGAAGAAAAATTGTGAATCAAAACCTGTAAGTAAAATGCATAGAGGAAATTATAAATGTTAGTCTTAAGTGCTTTTTCAAAAACCAAACCATTTTATAGGTGATTATTACATATATAAATTTTGAAAATGCTGCTTTTTTTTCCTCAGAATCCTGCTTCAGTTCTGCCCTTTGTATTTGTCACATGTGAACAAAGCTAAAAGCACCTGCAAAATTCATCAGTCTGGGAAATTACATTATGTGGGTTCGAAACGTAAGTAAACTCAAAAATGTAAGTAGAGGAAATGGCCAGACCTGCTTTTGGCTCTTCAGCAAAGGGAAGTCTCTCGAGGCTCTGCAAATCTCTGTGGGCTGAGTGTGGTTGTGCTCCCGCAGGCAGGTGGGAATGGCACGCACAGCAAAGCGCTCCCCTTCCCGGACTCCATGCTGAAATTGGGTTGGAAGTGAGAGCCACCATGAGCTCTGGTGCGTGGGCCCTGCTCCGCTTGCGAACCAGAGAGTGGTGATCAAAGCTCAGCAGGTCTTGGGGAGGAAATCCCTGCTGGGTGCTTCCCCGCTGATATACTTTACTCTGATCTCTTCCACTGAGGTAGGCATCCCCCTGGTGTGATGCAGCATTTACTGTGGGATTTGTGTGAGGAACCTCGAGTGCGATTTAAAGTTTGCCACTTTCCTCCCACCTCGACGTACCTGCTTTTGTATACCCCTTGCAAACACCATGTGAAGGAAGAGCCTTTAGACTTGCAGTTGTTTTAACTTCTTAGCAAAGCAAGGGTCTGTTCCCTCTCTCCCCCTCAGCTGCCAGCAGAATAATAAGCCCCACAGAATTAGTAACTCAAAGGTTTTACTCTGAATGCATCACAGCTGTGGAAAATATATACCCCTGCTTTCTGGGCTGATGACTTCCAACTGTATCCAAAACAATCATTCCTTTAATTCCCACTCAAGACTGCTTCAAAGCACCAACCTTAGCAGGAAACATCCCAAAAACTGAAGCCTGAGCTTATATGACATAGAAATGCAAGGTGGCAAGTATCTGAATGATCTCAAGGAGCTGGGTGGGCACAGCATGGAGTAGTACAGCACAGGTTGAGCAGGAAAGGGGACAAGGCCTCCTCCCCACTCTTTCCAGCTTTCTTAAATGGTCTAGGATGTCCCTGCCTGTCAAAGATTTCTCCTCTTGCTGTAGCTAGAAAGGGTTATAAAATGTTAACACTTCGCTGCAAGCTCTTCAGTGCAGTGATGGTGCTATATTTCCCCTGGTGAAGTAATGTTTTGTCAAATAGAGCCACAGTGGATTTATTAGTTACTTTTAACATCACAGCCAATATCAAGTTTCAAGAGCACTGAACAGTGTTGTTTGTACTCACCTACAGCACAGGTCCTTGGTCTGCAAGGCAACCTCCACCTGCTCCAATCTACGCAGCCAGGGCAATTTTGGGTCTTAAGGTCAAAATCTGGAGGCCTAGTGAGTGGTGTGCTGCCACTGGATCCCGTTGATGGAGCCCACTCTTGTTTTTTCCATGCTGTGTTGTGCTGACCTGGGCTGTTGGACTATGAGGGTCTTAAACCCTCTGCTGGCAGAGTCACTGCCGGTAATGGGGACTGGGCACTGTGTCCTGCTGTGCAATGCCAACTGGCTCAGCAGCCCCAGTATTGACCTATTGTTACTTGGATCTTCATGTGGGGAGATGGTCTCCTGCAGCTCCTTTCTTGGTCATTCTCCACCCTAATGTCTCATGGCCAGTTTCAGCTGTATTGGGCAGCGAGGCGCAGCCCCGGGCAGCCGCGAGGGAGGGTGCAGTGCCCCGTGCTGTCAGCATGGCGATAGCCCAGGGGCAGCTACAGCAAAAGGCTGCCCTGGGTTGTGGGGGATGTGGAAAGCTACTGGTAAAGACACAGTTTTAAAATAAAAGTGAGTTTCAGCATTCTGCTGATTGTGGAAGAGGTACTTGTTTTCTTAATGAGATGGTTCCCATGTCAGAAAGTTGCCTCTTAAAACTCACATGTAGTGCAAGGGGAATATTACTGTCACTGCTTCAGTTGCACTTGATTGAAGACACCATCTGCTGCAATACTCGGACAGCTTGGAATTTAAAATGTCATTTAGACCAGAAAGCAACTGAGCTTGGGTACTGAGGCAGTTGTCATCAGCAAAGGTGAACTTCCGTAAGTGAATGAGGTTACTGATAAAAAGGCTGAATCGAAGAAGCGTTTACAGAGAGCCCTGTGGAAGACCGCTGAATTTTCTGCATATGCCTTATTTCCTGTACATGCTTTCTGCAATCTACCTTGGTGAAATAATGTTACAAGAGCTGTCAGTGAACTTCAGCATTTAAAATTCAGCATTTGTGGTTCCTGCTGATTAAAGCAGGATGAGTGTTTCTGTCCTCTCCAGAACCAGGGTTGATGGTATTTTCCAAACCAAGCTACAGAGTCCTAGGCCAGCCCAGCAGAGTAGGAAGACGAGCCCATTTTCTTGCCTTTCTGTGGAGTATTGCTGCACACAAAGCTGTTCAAAACTGTTTTCTCCCTCAGTGTTTCTATTCCAGCTGACAACAAAAGGACAAACCAGCTCTGAGGCCTCTTTCTTCAGCACAGGAGGTGTAGGGAGAGGTACTGCATCCCTGACTGTCCCCTGCTTAGGCTGCAATCCAAAAAATCCAGAGGATAAAGAAAGAAGAGGAAAGAAATAGGTAGAAAATGCATTAAAAAGTAGTAGAGGCTAAAACTAACAGAGTTAATTGCTCTACTCGGGTTTGTGTCTGTAGGGCATGTTAGTAACGAAGCTCTTCAGCAGCACTGGGGCAAACTTGGTTCTTAAGGTCAAACAATCTATCAAGATGAAAATGCTGAAAGAGCCCTTTCCACATATGCTGCTCAGTACGGCTCAAATTGCATTTCAGCTGTGCTCAGTGTTTTTGTTGACTTAAAGTAAATTAAACATTATCTTTTTTTAATTAGATACGTTAGGAGATCTCAGTAAGTGCTACTTCCTACTAATTTAAACACTGGCACTAGTTTAAAGCACTTAAAGCTAAACCCCCCACCTTTAAACAACAAATTAATACAGAATTTGATTTAATAAGGAAGCAACTGGGGGTTAAGTGACCCATTCAGGCAGGGATGGAAAAGAAGCCAGCACAGAGCTAGCAGTGCAGCCACTGGGGTGGCTGTTAGGGAGCAAAGTAGGATTTTTCTTCATAACAGGTATTGCAAGCATGTAATATATTCAAAACCCTCTGTGTCTTTAACAATGATTTTTATAAGTCAGTGTGTTGGGTGTAATTGTCAAGGTGCTGGCAGCTGGGGCCTGCAGGGCAGCGCTGTGAGGGGAGGCCGGGGCTGCCCCGTGCCGGACACAACCGGTTCCAGCCGGTTCCAACCAACCCCCGCACAGGGCACAGCTCAGCCCCTCGGCCAAGGCAGAGGCACCTCTGGGAAAGTGTGTGTAAGAAAGGACAGAAACACGACACAGGCAGAGGAGGAGGGGAAAACAAGGGGGCAGCAGCCATGTGAACACCAAGGTGAGCGCAAGAGAAGGGTGAGGAGGTGCCGCACGTACCGGAGCAGAGATTCCTGGCAGCCTCGTGAGGAGCCCACAGCAGAGCAGGCAGGTATTTCCCCGTGGGAAACGTGGCCTGTGGAGCACCCACCCTGGAGCAGGGGCAAGGCGTGAGGAAGGAGCAGCAGAAAGGAGCCATTATGGACTGACCATTCAGCACTGCTGCATGGGGGAGGTAGAGGAGTCTGGAATGAAGGCATGAAGTTGAGTCTGGGAAGAAGGGTGGGGGAGAAGGTGGTGTTTTACATTTTTTTGCCTTTGCTTCTCACTATGCAAATCTATTGGCAATAAATTAAAAGTCAAGTTTCTTTTGCTCATGATGATAACTGGCAAGCAGTCTCCCCATCTTTATCTCAACTCATGAGCTTTGTATTTTCTCCTCCATCCAGTTGAGGTGGTAGAGTAAGGGGCTGGGTGGGCAGCCCACCACCGTCAGTTATCTACAGACTAGGTCATCAGAGAGAGGAAGCCTTGTGGAGAGGGCAGCTCTGCTAAAAAATATTAGCAGGCTGAAATAAGAATCAGCCTACTGCAAGATACAGAAAAGCGCCGTAGCCTCAACCGACTCTCTCTCAAAGGTGAACTTGGAAACTTTACATTTTTGAGAATAGTTTCTGGTACATTTTATTTCTCTACCTCTCAAAGACCTTTAAACTCTTGTCACGACAGGGCAGACAGCCCATTGCAAACCGTTATGTGAACGTCTTCTAATGAATCTCAATAATGAAACAACAAAAACAATTGTGACGGGGCCTTCTGCTTATGGCTGCATTCCTTTAGTGGCTGTCATGTCATTTGATTACTGTAGCCTTACAAGTTTTATATTATGTATCATACCACATTGTAATAAAGCAATGCATGCATACTCATGCACAAAGAACTTACAAGTAAAAACTACAATCCTTGATTGGGCTTTATTATTCTAACTTATTTAAAGAAATGGCTTCCTAGAATAGTATATGAATAGTACGTTATTTGCCATGCAGAGATTATACTAGGATAATATTAAAGATAAGAACCCTGTATTTCAAATTTATATTTGTATTCTACTGAATGGTGCAAATGTGAGAAATGACTGTCACAGGAATGGCTATCATGCTAAAACAAGTTTGAAAGCTGCTTATGTGCAGCCAAAAGCCCCTGACAATATGACAAAAAGCCCCATATCTTGACAAGATTAAGACTTGTCATATATTCTGTTCTCTACCACTTCCTAATGTTTTCTCACTTGTTTCCCCCCCAATTCAATAAACTACACTACAGCTGTTATAGGATGCTTTTATTTTCAACAAAACCAGTGAAAATACAATTTACACTGAAAGCCAAAGCTGAGGTGAGTCACATTTTTTTGTTGTTGTTATTTGCTAGGTGTTGTAGGTGGGATCCACTCTTGTATCTTCTTGCGAGTAGTAGAGTAAGGTACGTACTGTCCAGGAGTGCCACTCAGATTGAATTTATGGTTCTCCCAGATAAATTTACGAGGAACTGGTGGATGAGTAGTTGGAGGGTCATCCGTCATTGAGTGAAGCCAGCGATGCCTTAAGAGGAAAAAGACATGTTATTAAGAAGCATTACATGATGTGTAACAAGAGCTTTCCTGCTGACTCCCAAGGGTTCTCCTCTGAAGAGACACTAAGTATTTTTGGAGGGGAGGGGAATTTTAATCCAGTATGACTTTGAACGAAACTACAGGATACTGATTTAGAGTAATTACACAAACATATCTGATACATAACAGTTCTGTTTCCAAGCAACTGAAAGCACACCTGAGTTTGAATTTCCTGTTCCTTTGTAGGCTTCGCATTTGGGAAGAGAGCATTTCATTGTTACATGTTTGCATGGCCTTAACCAGCCAGCCTGGTCAAGGCAGGCACTCCAAATGACAAAGCCACAAGGTTTTCTTTTGTTGTCTGCATTTTTTTTTGTTGGGCTCTGGGGGTTTTGTTTTGAATTACCAGAAGACTAGCCTGCACAACAATTTCAGTACCATCTCTGAAGCATTCATGAGGCTAGCACTTGGGATATAGATTAATGATGCAGGTTCACCTAATGTAATCACGCAAATGTTTACTGATTGAATAATAAAATTATTAATACCAATCAGTGATGGGGTAATTACCAACTGATAATAGTGATTATCCTTTACCTATGAACTAAATGTCAATCCTCCCCTGTGCAAACAACATTACTGATCAAGCAAAGTGTTTTCCATCACAATTTACTGAAACACTACAGCAGGGATCAACTGAATTGATTTCATCCCATTTCTGTTTCAGTGCCTAAAGCAACTTTCAAACCTGAATAACATTTTAATTATCTGTCAATTTACATGTACGTCATATCGTAAGCACAGTTACGACAGAAGTGAGGTTCTGACTTTTTTTTGCAAGTTTATGTATTTTTTACTGAGAAAGAATTAAAGAGGCTTCTGCTAATCAGCTTTTGCCAAAGACTTGACCTAAAAATAAGATGTCTTCTATTCCAGTGCTATTAGAAAGCCTAAAAATTGCATCTTCAGCCTTTAGCAACAAATCTAGCACACTGCATTGATACAGCAAAACAAAACCACAATAAAAGTAGTGAGAAATAGACTGACAAGTATATTCTAAATCTGAAGAGCTCTACAGAAGGTTGATTATCTTTTCAGTCAAATAGTTTCTAGACATTTATTTCAGAAAAACTCACAATTTTGGATATAACTTTAGTACAAAATCTCACTTTAAAAAAATGTCAGCCACATATTCATTTTCTGTAAGTAAAAAACAAACAAAACCCCCAGACGAAAGCCACATGTAGGACTAAGGACTGCCAGAAAACTGGCTTGAGTACAAAACCAGATGGAACCATAAGATCCTTTAAAAGTAAGAAGAAAAACCTTGTTTCCGGGTAAAGAATTGCCTCCTATGGGAAAAATTATCCACTTAGGAGTTTGAAAGTTAGACAGATGTTCAGACTAAGTGACCCAATGCAATATGAATGGGAAGAGGTTCCCTCTCTTCCTCCCCCCACTCTCCTTTGTAAATCTGGTATCATTTGAAGCATGCATTTCCCATTACTTATATTAAAAAAAGAAGATTTTGGCAATGATTCTGTCTGGAAGAAGCCAGCCCCATAGCTAATCATGATGTGGTCTGAGGATACAGGATCAGGCCTTCATTAATTTTAAACCAGTTATTATCAGCCTCTGAAATGCCCTGGCCACATTGCACTAAGTTCTGACCTCAGGTGAACTCCCTCTCCCAATTCACACCATCAAAAGAATTCTGTGTACTAGAGTGCTCCACACCACCTGACATATCACATGTCCTCTGACAGCTAGCATCAAAGTTGCCAGAAATACTGTAAAACAGCTAATTTGACAGAGGTGGTATCATATGCTCCTCATATTCAACAAGACAGCTCTCCATTGCTAACAGAGGAACACACAGTTTGTCGCATGCGAGAAAGGGGGACAGAAGAGTCCATGTATCCATATACATTCTGTCAATACTGACTGAAGTACTACATTTCCAAACACTTTGCAGTACTACTCCAGAGGAGCATCAGCTTTTCAAAACCACTTACCGTAACACACAGAGGCAACTTAAACTCACACACCTTCATCTAGTGACACTTCTAGTAATAGTGGATAGGGAACTTGCAAACAAAACCCTATTTATGCATGCCTTACTGTGCCTCACCATCCTCACGCTCTCCTGAGTGTCATGCACACCAACAGGACAAACAGAAATTGTCTTCCTGGACAGAAATGCAAGTAACAAAGGCCCTGAAAAGACAGGCTGGAGCAGGTGGAGCACAAGAACTGTGTTAAAGCTCAGTTAAAATCAACTAGATTTCAAGCTTGCATGATGTCTGGCACCTTTGTCATTACAAGCATACTTACATTGTACACTTGCTCCATGAAACATCAGAAAAATTATCACAATATTCATTTATTTACTCATTTAACAGAATAGTTTTATTCTGTCATTTAAGCTATTGTTTTGCAGCTTTTCTAAGACTAAATCCATGAAGTTTTTAAAAATATGGTATTTGGAGTAATTAATATATTTGCTTTCAGGATTTTCTTCAGTTCTGTAACATCAATATAAAATCGGGCTCAAATATAAACAAATCAGCAGAACCAATCCTTAAATTCTACTTTCCCTCTGGAAAGTAGAAATAAAATTGCTCACCTGTGAGACATGTCAGTACAGTCACAGGTACTGAAATACCTGAAGTCATTTCAAAAGTTTGTTTAGAAGTCCATCCACTATTAAGTGTGCTTATATTTAAGAGCTTTAGGGCTTAAGCTTGGTCACAACAGATTCCCCTTAGAAGCACAACGTGTGACTTGCAAAAGCATTTCAGTTTGCAAAGTCTGTTCTCTCAAGCAAAAGCTCCCGCTCTCCACATAAGCAAAAATATGTAAAATCTTAAAACTTTATTTTGGGAAGACTTTCCCCTTGACAACCTCCCTCAAAGAGTCCTTTGAAGCCCTGATGTCTCAGACTCCCAGATGCTCAAGAAAAGCTTTTCATGCACTAGATTGAACAGCATGAATAAAGAGATTTGACGTCTTGCAGATGGCCAGATTTCTATGCAGACTCTGCCTATAAATCCATGCATGGAAAAACAGGATTCAAAAGCAATTAATGACTTAAAACCTACAAAGAAGCAGACAACTTACAGAGAACAAAGAAAATCAGGAGGATAGCAGAAGCTCTGAAAAGGCTGAAGCAGCTTCCCGAATCACAGAGCAGAGTCACTACCAAGCAGACTGAGGCTAGCAAAGCCTCTGGACTTTTCCTTAGGTAAAGAGATGAAAGGCACCTCAAAGTATCTTCAAGTGCTCTGAAGACTATGTAGAATTTTCTCCCAAGTTTAGACAAATATTTAAAAGCAAGGAGATTTCAAACTGAAGCTACAAGGGACCAGAGCCAATTATATGATGTACAAGCTGTCAAACAAGAACCAATGCTACACAAACTCTGTAGCTACTACCATATGTGCATCTGCAAGGTTCAGGCATCGTCTATATAAGTTCAGGATGTTTGCCAACTTCTTAGCATCCACTTTTTTCAACAAGTTAACTATGTTATAATAAGACAAAAGAGAAGTGAAGATGTGTGTTTTGGTCAAAGGGCAGAGAAGAATGGGAAGAGAAGGAAAAAGGGACAAGAAACATGTTTTTAATGTTTTTATTTGTTTACACATGAAAGATAACTGATTTCTCATGCAAGCTACTATAAGATACCATTCTATAGTAATGAGACAGCATCCCATTTACCTGAAAACATCACACTAGTATTTAATCTAGTTACAAAACCCACAAATTTATTGTGAAGCTATTGAAAGGATGGAAATTTTACCCTCCCTTCCTTTTCTGTTCAACCTTTTTGTTTTCCTTGGAGGCAGACTTGAAAAGCAGCAGTTTTACAGAGGAACGGCACATATCTTTACATTTCTTAGTATGCTGGCACTTTAAGTCTGAGATGCTACATTCCACCCTCCTTCAGCTGTCAAATCAACTAACAAAGAGGATGCAGATTATTAAACTGAATTTAAATTTGAAATACTTCATTGTATGAAGTTAACACTCCTGAAGCTTCTTCCAAAGATGTCAGATTTGCACCATAAGGGAATAAACATCAAAATACAGGACAGACATTACACATATATAGGACAGCGCTGGCAAAATTAAGTGTCCCTGCAAAAGGGGAAAACTATTCTCAAATTCCAGTTTTCTTTCTTCAGACTCAGAGGTCTGACTGTTCTTGCTGCTCTTCCCTAGGCTTCTTCCACTGGTCTAAGAGCATGGTACCCAGAGTCCAACACTATACCCTATATAAGTCTTCCTGGTAATAAGCAGAAAGGAAGAGTCACTTTGCATGACTGCAGGCAGCAATTCTTTCTACTTCTCAGGATGGCACACTTCTTTCTCAGCACTATGATAATGTGGACTTATGCAACCTGCTGTTCCCGTAACACCAGTCATCCTGCAGTACTGCTCTCCTCTTGTACACCACAGAGGCTTCAGCCAGAAGAGCTGGGTCCTACCCTCAGTCTCTGCACTCAGCCACATGATTTCACTCCTCTTCCTCTTGTGAACATGAAGTGAGACACGGGAACTTGCCATGTTGCCAAACTTAGGAGTGCAGATAACCTCCATCTGGTAATAACTGAGCTCTTCAATTCATCTATCTGTATTTTACACCCCTAATACTTCACTTCTCTGTGCAGCCTTTGGCTAAGGGGAAAAAACAGCTAGCACTTTTAAGCACACTTCCTTACTAACAAACCTGCTCAGAACATTTCACCTGGGCATCAGCTTGCCTGTGATCCAAGCCTGCTTCTATCAGGGCAGGTGGGAAGGTGGATGGAGAGAACTATAACCCTTATATAGCCCTTGCCCTAGGAAGAGAGCAAACCACATTACTATCAAGAAGTACAAATACACATTCAAGATAGCCAGTTTTTACTATGAAAACTCCTTGCCTGTGAAAATATTTTTGGTACCCTAACTAGTACTCACAAGCTGCTCAAGGATTCCCAGGGAGTAACACATTCCTCAATCTTAACACTAACATTTTCTTCCCTGAAACCTTTCAAAATCTTTTCTGCAGAGCCAAAAATACAGCATATTGAACCTGAAAGTCATTTATCCGTATCATCTTCCTACTTGTTTTTTGATTCTTTTTGAGCAAAGACAAAAAAGCTTTTTTGGTAATGAGTGCATCTGTGCTTAAGTTGTGTCTCTGTGTGAATGTGAGCACATGCATGAAGCAGCATATGCCAGTTGTATAAAACAGTATCACCTGGGGCTCCTGGCAGTGATTTGCTAACTGTAGTATTTTTAGGTTGGGAGATAACTGAATGAAGAACAAAAGGTGACACTTTAAAGTAACAGTAAAATGGAAATGAGCTCAACACACAGCCCAATGAGTAGAGCAGTTCTGTAATGAAGACATCTATGAAAGCACTAAATAGGGTGCATACAGGCAGGCACTGATATAAACAGATTTAACTTTTATTGTTTGTATGTTCACACAGCATACCAGATCAGTGTGTTCAAAAATGGAAGTACTGAGTTCCTGCAAACAACATGCTCTGAACTGAAGACAAAACAAGTATTTTGGCTTTTCTGTCTAACAGTATAAGAGATATCTTCATGTAGGAAAAAAAATGTGCCCAGTATCTTGTATAGCATTACCAGATGATTAATACTAATTATTCCCAATGCAAGTATTGAGGGAATTTAAAAAAAAACCAAACAAAACTATTAACAGGTCTCCAACAAAGTAGATACCAACATCTTGATTGTGAAGGTAAGAAAATAAAATCCAGATTAACAAAGAGGTTAAATAATACAACTAAATCAGAAAAAATCACAAGCCTACATATTCTGGTATGGCAACATTTTAAAAAAGCAAGTCACAACTCCTGTATAGCAGACATATGTCAAAACAACTCTTTTGATTTCCTTCAGACTGTGATTTTAGTACATCCGTTGTCAAATTACATCAATTATTTCAGAATACTGAAAATATTCAGTAGTTCATAAAAACAGTACTACAATATGTTATTGCATATGAGTCGTTTTTTCTTGCTGCTTTTTTCCTTTTCTCCAGTATCTGACAGAAGGTAAAGGACAACTAAACAAATTCTAATTTTATTTTTTCCAGACAGTTGTTTTCAGAACTTTTCAATATACCAAAATGTTTTTTTCCAATTCATCATGCATTATGAAGTCCACCTGATTGTATTTCAAGCATTCATATTCTGCAAACCTGAAGGCACGTGACAGACTACAAAATTATACCTTAAGATGCACAGTGTATTCAACAACCAGAAACATGGAGAAAAACAACCTGAAAAAATTTTTTCCTGCACATCTGCTAATGTTCTCTATACTTCCCAAGAAAACAGTGTAATTAGCAGGATAATCAGTAGTGTAATTCTACATACAGTAGGATTTTTATAAGAGTACTAGAAAATCATTACAAACTAGTCAGCATTACTATTTAAAAAAGGAAAATCTGAAATCTCTAGGTTAGCACTGGTCTTAAACCTCAATTTTGTTAAAGTGTCATCTTTAGGCATGACAGTTGCAAAGTATTTTCTGAGAGTAACACCAGCATAAACAATGTAGTAGAACCTGCTTCCACCTGCAGAGGGTACAACACCACACCCACAAAATGCTCTACTGAGCTGAAGTAATGGAAACCCAGAGTCAAAAATCATTGTTTAGAAGAAGCATTCAGATCACAACCCAGCTGTCACAATGGCACTTTAAACACTTCCCAGCTGGCCCAGGGATGCCAAACTTGTCTCACCTTCCCATCTGTTGAAAACAAGGCTAGTGATTTAAGAAATAAACATTTTTCACAACTGACAGAATGGATACTATTATACTATGGACCAAATTAGTCTATTTGTTAATGGAAGTAATTTCACACAGTCTGATTTATTTCCAGCAAATTCTGGGTCCAAAAACCCCACTCATTTCCTGCATTTGACAGCAACTTGTTAATATTAACAGTCTCAATTCAAAAGTCTATGCCATGTTAAAAATTTAAGATAGTATACCATCAGATGAAAAAAAAAAAAAAAAAAAATCAATCTTAAAAGAGAGCATTTATTCCCAGTCAAAATAGAAGTATTTTTAAAGATGTATTTAAACACTGTAGAATTACAGGTTGTCCTGGTTTTGGCTGGGATTGAGTTAATTTTCTTCCTAATAGCTGGTTCAGTGCTGTGGTTTGGATTTAGTGTGAGAATAATGTTGACAACATGCTAATGTGTTAATTGTTGCCAAGTGGCCCTTATCCTAAGTTAAGGATTTTTCAGTTTCCCATGCTCTGCCAGTGAGCAGGTGCGCAAGAAGCTGGGAGGGAGCCTGGCCAGGAGAGCTGACCCGAACCAGCCAGAGGGATATTCCATACCTTAGAACATCGTGCTCAGTGTGTAAACTGGGGGGGTTGGCCAGGAGGAGCGGATTGCTGCTTGGGCATCGGTCAGCAGGTGGTGAGCAACTGCGCTGTCCATCGCTTGTCTTTTCTTGGGTTTTATTTCCCTCTCTTTTTGTTATAGTCCTTTTCAAGGCAACTATTAATATAACTTGTTATTATTATATTTTATTTTAGTTATTAAACTGTTCTTATCTCAACATGCAAATTTAACTTTTCGATTTTGTTCCCTATCCCACTGGGAGGGGTGAGGAGTGAGCGAGCGGCTGAGTGGTGCTTAGCTGCTGGCTGGGATTAAACCACAACACAGGTCAGGTCATTGATACAGATGTGACACAAAACTAGGATTCCTACATAAAAATAAACACCTAAGGTTGCCATGAGACATACAAATTTATTAGCAATAAAACAAAACACAAAACTGAACAGTACTGCACAACTAATTTTCCTGACAAAAATACCTTAGAACACAGGACTGTTTACCCTTTTGTGCCCCACTGCACTGACCAGTCTTGAAAATAATGTTTACTGTTTCTTTTAGGGCAATTTTTTCCACATTGATAAGAAAACAAGTTTTTCTACCTCACTAATTTACGTGATCTAAACAAGCTACTTAATCCTCAAAACATCACTTTGATACTCAGGAAGAAACCCTTTACTGAAATTTGTAAGGACACAATAAACAACACATAAGCACAAGAAAAGAAAAAAAAAAAAACAAAAACAAACAAACAAAAACCATACCAGCAAAAATTGTGCCTCAAAATAAGGAAAATCTTGAAAACCATGACAGTGTAACAGTGAAAGGAGAAAAAAATAGAACCAAACAACAGTTATTATGAAGATAATAAGGAACAGCCCTGCACTGGCATGAACATGCTAGTTTTGGAGATTCCTAACATCACTTCTACAAAACAATGCTATTAAGCTCTTACTGGAGAAGACAGAAAAAAGCATTAATAGCATTAAACATAATTTTAAGGCTGGGAGAGTTTGACAAAATTGACTGCCTAGACAGCCTACCCACACATTTCTCAAATGTTCTAATGAGAGCCACAATTGATGAGTTTAGATAATCAATCTCAGCCTTGGCACAAAACATTTACCACAGGAATAATAAAATCCAGCACTCACCAATGTTCAGTCTACCCAAGCACCTCTTACTTCATATCACCTTTCATTGCTTTGTGGCTAAAGTGCTATTCCTATTCCTCAAGAATCGGGTAGAGATTGTTTTTGCTAGCATACACCACTACTTTATTTGGTGTGTGTTTAGGAAGACAAAAAAAAAGTATAAACAGTTGTGTGGCCAGAGACCTTCTGGAACTCAAGGTTGTACAGAATGATTACTAAAATGTATTAACAGAAAATAAAATCTTAAGAAAAATTATAGTGAAGCAGCAGTCAACATACAGAGCATCCTGCCCCTTGCTGTTCATCATCTTGTAGAGTATCAATGTATATAAATTGAAACAATTATGCTGTTAACAGCTGTGGATTAAGGAACATTGTTCCATCATTGCCTTAGGTTCTTTAGGTTCTTATCCAGAATGGATAATAAAAATACATTTTCTACCTCTGGCTGCTCAATGCTAATGGTTTGGCAAAGCCTACAATAAGATGGAATCACAACTAATAAGGAAAATTGGAAGACTGGCTCAACCTGGTCAATATGGCTGGCAAAATGCTTTTCTCACTCCAAGAAGCAATGAGTGCTACTGTCAGGACAGTGAACAATATAATATTATGAATGCAGTTCAAAATTAAAAGTAACCAGTCTGAAATCTTCTGGTCATATGTAAGATAGCTGCGTCCAAGAAAACTTTATTACCATAAAACTGTTACTTTTTTAATCCCGTGCTTTGTAATACAAGAAAATATACAGGCAATTACACTACTGGTATCTGTCCACATTATTAAGCTAAATAGTTTACCATTCAGGGGGCACCATACTTCCATCAACTTCCCAAAACGTATTTTTGCCATTCATTTCAGTAGTGTAGATAACCCATCTGTGTCGACCTTAAACAAACAGAAATACTGTATTAGCTCAAAGAAAAAAAATATTATTTTCATTTAAAGGAGAGAATTCATGAAAACATACGGAAAAGTGTTTTGACTAAAAGTATCTACCATTATGGGAACTGATTTAAAAGTCAGTACAGCTTTCATTTTTTCTAAGTCTTCTGTATTTCCACTGTTACTATATTCTTATATGGCTGAATCTAACATTCACGAAGAAGCAAATATTAGCTACTGTATAAGTGAGGAGATAGAAACTTACAAAATTTTCAGGCAGAGAAACAGGTTTGGGGATTTTTTTCCCCATGAGGAGGAGTCTTTTCCAAAAGGACACTGCCATTAGTAACCTAAGATTAAACCAAGTTTCAGCCATTTAAAACTACCAAGCAATGTTTACCAGTAACTGCTTTCCCCAGGTACCCTACAAGATAACCTACAGTAGGCAGACCTTGGCCTAACCAGCACATCAATTGCTTACACATCATCCTCATTGCTTTAGGTGCTACCTTTCTACGTATTCTACAAATGTTATTTAAAATCCCTTTACTTAATAAGAAGTTTAAGCTAACGTGTTTCCTTGCCCTGAAGTGATCATGTAAGTAAGTACAGGTGTGAGGCAGTTTTAAAGGCAGCTGTCTTTCTTCCCCCACCTGTTAAGCCATCAGCTTTTAGGTCAAGAACCAAATTCAGCTCTCAGTCACATCACCACATAGGCATACCTACATGGAGAGCATCTGACTAGCTTATATTTATCCCATATTTATTATTTCAGATTGACTATGTTTGCAGATGAAGTGAAGGAAGCAGTAGAGAGACAGATGTCAAAGCATTCCTATGAGCCCCCTCTCTAAGACTCACACAAGTCAAGTGCAAGGAAGTTGGGCAGGTAACAAGTTCTATTTCACTAGCAGAAACTACACAAGCTATACAAAGTTGGACAGTCAGTCAAGAGGTACACACATACCAAAGAAGTTTCTTTTGTCTTCATAGTATTTGTTTCCATATTTGTCAGTTCCTATCAGTGTACCAGTCTTCAAATCATTGACTCTGCGAATTCCCAAAACAAGAGTTTCAATTGATATCATCTTAGAATTAAGTTGTGATAAAGGTTTCTTAGGGATTAGTAAAAATCTGTCATAAAAACTCTTAAACACATATATGTAAAGCTAGTAAAAAAAAACTATTCAAATTTAAGGATTGCAATACATAATCACTAATCCCTGCAACTAATGTCAGCGTGCCTTTACTGTGCGCCCCACTGACAGGGTAATAAGTCATACAGGAAGGCTTTTGGGGGCTATTATTTATTTAAAAGCTCATTATAGTGGAAGATAAAGCAAGTGTGCAATACAGCACAATTTAACACCCACAAAACCTTAAATACTGTGGGAGTCCCAGAGACAAATATTAATTCACGTAGTTGAAGACGTTACCATCCTTCTCAACTATCTGTTACTACCATTACAGCTTGAATGACCATGGAAAGCGGTCAGCACTGAAGCAGTTTAAGAGATCTCACACGTCTGTGTGGGCAATAACCTCTGGGAGAGGAACAGTAATATTTTAAGCCATTGTAGCTGCTTGCCAAGGAAACGCATGCTAAACCCTAAATGATAATTTTTACTTTATAGCTTTTGTATAACTATGGATGATGTGAGCATTTACGCTGCCACTCCGGGAGGCTGAACCTGACCCAGATAAGGTATATACCCATTTCAACTCTTTCTACATATTTTATACATAACATTAGTGTATGTATCAATAATTAAACTGAACCTATGATTTCCATTCTACTGATAAAATCTTAAAATTACTGAAGTGCTCTTTTTCCCCTGGATCTGTCTCTTGGCTTTCCTTTCTACTGACATTTACCTCAGGCAGAATTACATAAGGAAAAGTTTACTCTCAAAGGTTTTAGCTGTTTGTAGTATCATATACCCTCTCAATTCAGTCCCAGGTGACAGAACGGATGTACACATGCATGCTTCTTTAGTTGGTAACCATATAACCCACAGATAAAGTTTTTTTGTTGTCTTTTGTCCCAGGGTACATGTAAAGCAATACTCACTCCACCACGTACACGTTTTAAACCTCTGTTCCAGGCAGAAAGATTCTCTGACACAGCTCTGCTCTGTCAAAGAAACACTCGAAAGATCTCTGGCACAGCTATCTAAGACCAAGCTCCCAGCTGCAGAAAAAGAAATGCCATTTCACTGCTGCTCTCTCTTCCTTCTTCCCCTCCCTTTCTTGTAAGAGTTCTTACGCCCTTGTCCTGATTCATGCCCATACTGATATCAAACACTAAGAGGTATTTAGGGCTTCCAGAGAACATTTCACAGACAATTTCACTGAGTCTTGAGTAAGGAGAACGTTTTCAGGCACACAGGATCTTAATAATTTCACTTCTATGGCATAAAAACCTATTCCAGCCACCTTAGTGAGACAGATACAGAGAAAAGCAGGAAAATTCAGAATAAAACCCTTGCAGAGAATCTCCTGACTTGGGTAAATATTTTTTATCAAGTTACCAGTAATTACTTCTTAAAGACATCAATTGTTGCAAGAAAGATACACCTTGATTACTCTTCCTTTAAGTGCCAAGTCTACTCCTTGAGCTGGGACAGAAGATTCAAATGCCTGAAAGCAGCAGCCGTGTTTGTGATTGGTACAGTTACGAGGATCAGGTGTGATTCTCCACCTAGTACATCTCTCTTCTAACTTCAGTCTTCTGAAAGAAAAAAAAGAGAGCACTGCCTCCAGTCTTGCCCGCTTCCTTCTTCTGTGTGGTAGAAAGGTGTCAACACAGCCTGTGATCTTTGACTTACAAAAGTCCCCTGATAAGACATTCATTAAGATGTGCTTAGGAAGAGGCAATCTGGTGAAACCCAATACTCAAACTCTTCTACACTTTTATTTCCCCAGCTCCACTTCTTCTTGAGAACTGCCAGTGTAATAGCTACAGGCTGAGAAGGGAAACAAAGTGGAGAAAACAACTTGGGGGAATGACAGAAAATAGTAATAATAGTAAAATGCTAGCCAGGGGAATCACATATTGTCTTAACTTTTACTGCCTAACAGCTTGAAATCTCCCTCTAAAAAATCGTGCAAGAGGTCTATCTGAGCTGCTTTCTACCGTGGAGACAGAAAAGCCAGAAGCTGCCTGTCACCACAGCTACTACTAATATACCATTGAGGCCTCCCAAAAGTCAAGCTGACTTCAGAAAAGCACACAATATTGTGCCACAAAACAAATGAGAAAATAATTGAAAATCTCTAATTGTAGAGGGACCAATACATTGACTGACAGGAGGAAGACAACATGCTCAGCTGAGAGAAGAAATACAGAGCTGTTTGAAGGTTAGTAGTGAAGTTCCACAAAGCATGATGATGACAGTAGCCTTATTTAACACTTTACAGAGCTCCTGACCATAACAAAAACAAAACAGAAAACCCATCCCCAAAAAGCAAAGGAGTCTGATAGATTATATTACCACATAGAGGAAGGTCATGTTATTGGACAGGAAGTTCTATACTACCCTCAGGGTAGCACCAGAGTGAAATTCAATGGTATGAAGGTCATAGCACAAGGTGATGCACCTGGAGACTAATAAGATCTAAAGCACTGTGTGTGTAATCACAAGGACAACATCTGCATGTCACAAAGCAATAATGAGCTGCCAATTAAGTGACGTGGGGAGAAAAAACAAGACAAGCTGATCCTAGGAAGAACCAGGTGAACTGAGCTGTTTTCAGTAAACAGATCCATTTAAACTACAAGAAATAACAGAAAAAGGGCTATTACGGTGACCGGGGTGGGAGGGAAAGTCTTCAAGAAGGATCAGAAAGTTTGGCTTGTTTATTCTGGCCTAAGAGAGCCCTTCATATATAGCAGAGAACTTTATCTTTGAGAATCCTCCCTATCACATACTCATAACTTCCCACTACTGATTAAAAAAAGGATTTCTGGCTATATGGTCAAGCCTATAACATTTACTGTACCCTGAAGAAATGTTCTACTACTTTTCCAAGACCAGCTACAAAGATAACACAGGTTACTGACACTGCCGAATTTGGATCATGTATCATTCAGACTTCCACGTTACCTCATCAAGGATCTGAATGACAAAAAGTACCTTAGTAAATCTGCAGCTCTTCCTATTTGGGAGAAGCTTCAAGCACAAAGTATCACAATTCAAAATTCTCTTCACTAGGTAGAGGTGGGAGTGAGGGGAAAAAAAAATAGGGGAAAGTTTAATGTGGGACAAGTGCAAGGTTCTGTGCTGGGGGAACAAAGTATACAGATACGACTGTAAACAAAGGCTGAAACTAATTCTGGAGAAAATATCACTGGGGCTAAAGGCACTCAAAGCTGAGCACAGGCCAACGGTGACAACCCGCTGCCAAAGAGCCAGATGTACAGTTGGAAGTGTTCAGGAACAACAGCCGGTAAGGTGAATGAATTAGTTCTCTGGCATACACCGCAGGGTTTCAGCAGAAGCACGGCTTTGAGATTTGCACACCGGAGAGTTCCAAAAAAGCCGCGACCAGCCTGAGGAGAGCCGGCAGGCCAGCGGGATGGCGGCCCGCGGGAGGCGGCTGCAGCAGCGCAGGGCGGCCGCAGCCACGGACTGAAGCTGGGCACCGGGAAAACCCGCCTGAGAAATAACGCCAGCTCAGCACCGAGGAACACACTAAAATGGCAGAAGAAGAACCACCGGAGCCTGCCTGAGGGACGCTCCGAGCCCGGGCCCCGCCGGGGGAGCGCACGGAGCGGCCTCCTCCCGAGCCGCTGCCGTGAGCGGCGGCCGCTCCGTGCCGTCCCCCCGCCAAGGTGACCCCGCGGGGCGACCAGGCGGGAGCGGGGAGCCGCCCCCCCCCCCGCCCCGCCGCCTGCCCCGGGCGCCCCGTTACCTCAGCAGCTGCCACATGGCGCCGCGGACGCCGCCGTGGCCGCTGAGGTGCTTCAACGCCCGCTTCAGCACCTGCACGTACTCCGCCATCTTGAGGCGGCGCCGCCGTTCCGGCCCGGGGCCGCCCCGCCTCCCGCCCCTCGCCGGGGCAGCACCGCCTCGTCCGCCCGAGGGAGGGAGGGAGGGGAGAGCGGGCTGGAAGCTGACGGCGGTGGCGGTCTCTGACCGTCCGCCATTTGCTCGGTGGTTGCCCGGGCCGCGGAGAGTTGGGCCGGTTGGACGCGGCCTCTGGTGCCCCCCAGGCTGGCGTCCGGCTTGCCGCAGGCCCGCCGTGGCGTCTCCCTGAGAGCGGGCAAGGAGGGAGATTGACAGCCCGGTGCTGCCTCGCCCAGCTGCCGAGTGCGTTACTCCTGATCCTGCCTCACCCCTCTTGCTCTGTGATCCCCTCCGATGAGGCATACGGCTCCATCGTCCTTGTTAACGCTCAGGGAAGCAGTCGCAGGCTGCAGTTAGACGCCGCTGACCACCGCTCCACCAGGCTGCAGGTGCAGAACTCTTTCAAAACGCATCTTCGCAAATGTGCACGGCCCTGGCTGCTGGCCATTGCAACAAGCTTCTGCGGGAGCAGGATCTCCGTATCCCGCTTGGAGAGGGCCCTGGTGTCCCAGGGACTGCCTCACCAGCCAAGGGGATGATCGTTTCCCAGGACTGGCAAACCACGCTTCTCCCAGTGCAGCTAGCATGTGCTTTGCTTTGTGATAACAGAGCAACTATCCAGAAACCTATCCAGCAGTGAGATCCTTCTTCTGGCATTTGTTAAGGTTGCTGAAGGGTGTTTCCTGCTGAAGACACAAAGTATTTGCATAGTTTAGATCCATAAAAAGAGCATTTGCCTACTGTTCATGTAAAGATCATTAAAAGACAACTTCAGGATAGGGGAAAAAAACCTCTTTTAAATACAAATGTCTACTGTTTATCCCTTATTTCACACAGGTTACAAGATTGGTGATGAGAAAAGTTACCAAGACTGGCCTGGGGAGTCCAGGATTTCCTAGATCAAAAATTAGGAGATGGGGGAGGTGACATCTCATCCTGTGCAGACTGAGTGATGGTCAGAGAAGAGCTTAACGCTCTTGTCTCTCCCTGGCTTTTCCCAACTCTGGCAGGCCATTAAGAAATGTGTATCTCTGTCTCATCCACCTCTCCACCCCACCATCTCTGTCTTGTCCCACTGCCTTCTCCTGGTTTTGCACCAGCAGGAAAAAATACTTTTGATCACCCTGCTGTGGGCACTGGGAGTACATTACTGCTGTCACTGCAAGGCTGGTCTGGCAGGGTGCAGAAACTGCTTCACTGACCTTCACAAGGCTAGAGTTACTTAAACCAGCCAAAAATAGATCCATGGTACCTTGTCAGAGCAGGCAGGACTTGGAAGAGCACCCAGTAAACACATCTTCAGTGCTGCAACCAGCACTGGTCGATCAGCAGGACGTGACTGTCAGTCAGCATGGAGAGGCCAAGTGGATTCGGCAAGGGACAAAGCGGGAGTCAAAGTGAAAAGTGAAGTAGATGATGTTAAACCTGAAAGGAAAATGAGACTGGGAAAAAGGTCTGTCAGCCAAGTTCACAGTGTGGAAATATAATACCCATTTCAATGTGAAGTTTCCCATTCAATTTTTTTTTAATTTGAACACAAGTGATGTTGTGTTCAAACACAAAACACAAGCCCAGATGATCCAGTGTTCCATCCTCTAACCACAGCATCTGTTTCATGGTAAGTCTCAGGATTCAATACACTTGTGACAGGTTATTTGCATTTTCACAATCAAAACTAGGAAATGTATTAAATGTATTAAAATATGCTCAGATAATTGTATGTTAGCATGCAGAAACACAGCATCGTTTACAGTCAGAATTCACTTGTTTTGTTGCATGTAACTTCATACACAGAAACCATTGTTTTGATATAAACTACTGATGATGGGAGTGTAAAATATGACAGAAATGTAGTTTAAATTAGGTCAGCAACTTTTGAAGCATTGGATAGGTTCAACGCTTGAACCAGCTTCTAAGCCTATTCCCGATTCATGTAACTGGGATCATTTTCATTGACTTGAGAGTGTAATTCCCTGAGCATTTTCTCTGCTGGAAGTGAAATAACATTGGTTATTTATTTTTTTTTTTCCCTAAGGGTTAAGTGATCTGGATCACTTCACTGATCCACATGCCGCCATGGTTGTCAGACTGAGACCACTGTGGAGGATTAGGGCATTGTGATACAAAGCTGGAAGAAGGGATCAACTTCTTAATGTAACTTTGATCCTACAGAAGAATACATTCTTAGTAGCAGGAACATTTTACAGCATATTCAAATTACATTTTGATTTTTCTTTATACTATTTTTCTCCATTAATTGGGTCAAGTGAGATCTCCACTGAGAATTTCATTAGTTTATAATTGCTCAAGTCCCATCACATCCACTTAAACTGCTTTTGTTAATGTGTTTTGTCATTGAGCATGGAAAAATAATCTTACTGCTGTGTTCAGAATTCTTCCTGAAGGTGCAACCGTCACAATCAAATACAGTGGAATGCAAATGCAACTATAGCGTCTTCCTAAGAATTTATTGGGGCATCTTTGGGAGACAGCATTGAAATGCTGTCTTGTCACTCAAGTAACTTGTAAAACTCATGCACCCATAAGAAATTTTTAATTCCCAGTTTTTAAACTTCGAGAGTCTGTTAGATGTTGCTTTTATTCCCCAGAAGTTAATGCACTGAACCTCACTTCCTCAAAAACTCTTGCTAAATATATTTAATGCTGCCTTGTTTTTCTCCTACTGTCCAAGTAAATGGCACAGAATTGCTGACAGAACTCTTTTTCAGGCCTAAAAAAACCCCTCTCAAGTCTGAACACATGAATTAGTTGCTTCTTTTCTAATACAGTGTAACAAACAACTTATTTTTCAAAGATAAACAAATCCATTTCCTGAATGACTCAAAGGATGACATGCAGCTTCCCTTGACTCTAATGATAGGCTCACTGAATCCTACATAGTTTAGTTTTTCTTTAGAGTTTTATTCAATGGTACAATTGATCCTGAAAAACCTAAGCTCATATATTCCCAGAAAGTGCAAAAATCAATCAATCTATAGACTAATTTGTACTTATATTTTACCTTAGAATAACTTTTTATTATGTTTCCCTATTCCACTGCTATTCTATTGTTAGTATGGAAAGTCATATAAATTTATTCTGCAGTGGTTCACAACTGTGGAACATACATTTGCAACATTAATTGGAGTTCCTTTGCTTAACTAAACTAAGAAACAAATCCAACAAAAGAGAGACTAATAAATAAGACCAAACTATGTAGATTCTGAGAATGTTATAAATTCCAGTCCCATCCTTCCAGAATTGCAAAGTTCCAGAAGCAAAGGCAAATCCACAACACAAGTCTCCACAATTCAATATCCTGCAATACTTAAGTCCAGTCTCTAACCATAGTTTCTCTCCTTCTAATCTAAACAGTGCAATATCTAATGCTTCACTAATGGATTTTTTTAGCCAGTCCTATAATCCGTATTATTTCCCAAAACCACAATCAAAAAAAATTTCTCACTTGGATTCAATTGTTTTAAAATGTTAAAAGGTGAATTCATAGCCTGGAACTAAAGTGTAATGTTACAAAAAAAGGTGCATGTTTTATAATTGTACTGGATTTGTATGGCAGGGTTTTTGGTAGCAGGGGAGGGGGCTACAGTGGTGGCCCCTGTGAGAAGCTTCTCGAAGTCTCTCTGGCTCCAAGTCAGACCCAACTTAGGCCAAGGCTGAGCCAATTCACGTCAGCGGCTGTGCCTCGGTGGTAATGTATTTAAGAAGGGGAACATGGGAGGAAGAGCTGGAGTTGTGAGAAGTTGCAAGGAGGACACCTGTGTGAACACTGAGGTCAGTGGAAGAACGGAGGAGGAAGAGGGGGAAGTGAGCTGGAAGAGAAGCTCATGAGAGGTGGCTTCATATGATGAAGTACGAATGTTCTTTGGGGTTACTTTAAGATAGATGTGTGAGGCAGAAAGGCAAGACTGGGTGCTAGGGACGTTTGTTGGGTAGAGAGAAAAAGGGAGATGCTACAGGGAAACAAAGTTGGAGGGTTCCCAAACAAGTTTTTGCTATTCACCAGAAGGGCACTTTTTTCTAGAGAGATCTTCCTCTTCCCCTCAGAGGTGACCAAAAGGCTGTGGAAAGTTACTGGTATGAGAGAGTAATTGATCAGCAGTCTGCGGAACCAGGGTCTGCAGAAGTTAGAGCAGGTCTAGAGGAGGCCACAAAAATGATCAGAGGGCTGGAGCACCTCTCCTGTGACAAAAGGCTGAGGGAGTTGGGGTTGTTCAGCCTGGGGAAGAGAAGACTCCGGGGAGACATTATAGTTGGCTTCCAGTACTTAATGGGGGCCTACAGGAAAGATGTGGAGGGACTCTATCAGGGACAGGGGTAATGGCTTTAAACTGAAAGAGGGCAGATTTAGATTAGACATAAGGAAGAAATTCTTCCTTGTGTGGGTGCTGAGACACTGGCACAGGCTGCCCAGAGCAGCTGTGGCTGCCCCCTCCCTGGCAGTGTCCAAGGCCAGGCTGGACGGGGCTGGGAGCAACCTGGGCTGGGGGAAGGTGTCCCTGCCCGTGGCAGGGGGGTGGAACTGGGGGATCTTCAAAGTCCCTTCCAGCTCAAACCATTCTGTGATCCTGAGTACGGAGAAAGGTAAGTTTTTAAAACAGAGGCAAGAAAGACCCTGGAGTAAGTTTTGATGGGGAAGAGACTCTAAATGCTTATTTCTAGCTCTCATAATTAACAAACTCACTGCAGTATCCAAACTTTATCTTTTACCAGTGCATCTCAGAAACATTTTCTGTGAAGTGTGTCAGTGGGTAATTAATTTTCTTCATGATAAAAACATTTCAGAATTTAAACATGGAAAGAATGGTAGCTCATTTATCATTTGGGATGCTGTTCTGGGTTATCTGCACATTAATGCAAATGCCACATTAATTTATAATAGAAGACAAAAACTAAAAAAAAATTACACTTTTTCAATTATCATGGAGAAATAAATTCTGGAATGGACCAAAACCTGTGATAATTTCACAATTTTAAAC